AGTACCCGTACCGGTGCCTGGCTGGGCTCTCTTTGCCCACCCGCTCTCCCGTCCATCCGCGCCTTCGGTGGGTGCGACAAGTCCGGCAGCTCCCCCAGCTCTGGTCGTTCCAGTCCCCCAGGTCCAGCTGGAGCTGCTCCTGTTCCTGCTCCAGAGAGCTCCCCGTCCCGTCAGCAACGCAACAGCCTGTTCTGCTCTCGCTGCCACCGCCGGCCATCCCCCTCCCTCCCCCATTACCTCCCCTTCCCCTCCTCTAGCTTTCCTTCTCTTCTTTCTTCTCTTCTACTAATCCTCGATCTGCCCACCTTTTGCTCGCCCACCCTGAGACTTTCCCATCAATTGAAACCCTACAAACTCGATAGACACAATGTCCACCCGTAAGAGAAAGCAGGAGGAGGAGGAGGAGCTTGTTTCCCTCCCTGAAGATGATGATGGCGAGGAGGAGGAAGAGTAAGTCACCAGCCAGCCCGGTCCCCTGAGCCTGTTGTGTCCAGCTTTGGTTATTAGTCTGCGCAACTTCCCCCAAATTCCCCATGTTTGCGCCAGGCTTTGCGAAGCTCCTACAAACTATTTGTTATGCGCCAGACATGCCTTCAAGGTCCAATCACGGCGCATGTTTGAGATCCTTGCTAACCATACCAGGTACCAGAGTACCGACGACGAAGCCGGAGGCGGTGAAGGGTCCGAGGAGGAGGAAGAGGAGGAGGAGGAGGATGACGAAGATCCCGAGGGCGAAGAGGACGAGCCCGAAACAAAGAACGGCGCTGATGGTAAGTCTTCCCTAGCTCGTGCTTTCTTTCTCTGCTGACCACGTCAAGCCCCACCTGCCAAACGGCAAAAGACCGACGCTGTTGAGAAGGATGAGGATGCTGAGGAGGAGGAGGAGGAGGGTGACGCCGAAGACGAGGAGGCCGATGCCGACGATGCATTGAACGGCATCAAGGAGGCCGCTGCCGATGTGCCCGACAAGACGGTCAAAGCGACCGATGCTGCTCCCGAGGCTAACGGCGACGCCAAGGCCGTCGCGGCAGATGGCGACGACAAGGAGTGATGCGCGCGCATTGCTTGCCCGCGAGGCTGCATGCTTCTTTTCGTTTCCCCTTGAGGCGTTGGGGTGCATGCGGAAGGTTATCCGGCGCAAGTGATTCTGTTTAGCTAGCTCCCAACTTACATCCCTACGCTCCGCTCCATTCGCATCCTGACAATCCCGTGACGCACCGCCTCTTCAGACCGTGAACCTTTCAATTGCGCGAGACGTGGCGATGCATCCGCGAGGATCTGGCCGATTCCGTCGTCGTCCTGCAGTCGCGTCGTTGCCCCTTTCGCTCATCTCTCCAATCGTAGCATCTCGCCTGACCTGCGGGCCATTCTGCGACCCACGCGCCTCCATCCGAGCCCGCAGGTGCCCGGCGTCGGCTGCGGCTCAGTGCTGCTTTGCGGTCAGTGCAGACGGCCGAGACGGGAAGCATCATGGACGCTGTGATGGCCGCCTCATGACCCAGGACTGGACTCGGAGTGAAGTCTGTCGATGGAAGCTTGTCGCCTGTTGAGAGGATGCTTCTTCTGGTTCATGCAGGTCTCGCAGACGATGTCCGCGCCTCACATTGCTGGCCGAGCCTTGCACAATAGGTGTTTTTTGCGAGCAGTATGAGCCAGATGACCTCCCGAGTATGCCTTAGACTGAAGTTCTCGCGAAATGTCAGCTGAGAGTATACAGTATTGACTCAGTAGCTGTCGAATACCTTGTGATGACGACGAATAACGGTACGTCTTAAAGCAGACTCGCCACCACAAACTGCGTCGCAAGACAAGATGCTCTTCTGTTCGATCGGGCTATTTTCATTGGCATTCGTGTTGAGCAAAAGACGTGCCTTGCAATGACGACGATGTTTCTGAATTCGAGTGGTTAAATGTGGACGCTGCGACAAGGCGTCGGCAACAGCGCCTGGGGACTCTGCTCCAGCTTCAAGCGGACAGAAGCTGACGGAGAGAATCCTTCCTAGACAGCCGCCGGCTTGCGAGGGCGTCACTTGCGGGCCGATGATATGCAAATGAAATATCCATGATCTTGCGCATGAAATTCACATATTAATAAAGGAACGTCCAACGTGTTGGCGGCTGGAAACGAAGCTTTGGCATGAAACCGACATCAAGATCGACAAAGTTGAAGACCCAAAATCCATGCAGCCACGATGACCAAGTACCAAACACAAATTTGAGTCATGGGACCACGCTGCGACTCTGCACAAGATTAACACATTACTTTACTCAATGTAGTCGCAGTGGTAGATCACCCGCTGTGATCCTCAATGCTGCCATATAATGATACAAGTCGTGACAGCCAACACCCTCTCATCTCGGGGCTCCCCAAATGGAGCCGATATCACAACGCAACGCCGATCCATCAAGCTATGACCTTCCGAGTGTCCCTCGACGGCCCCTCTCCTCTTTCTTGCCTCCGTTCCCAGTCACCTTCATCCAGTCGTCCCACTCCTTGCTAATTTCCATGAGCACCGAACCCATGACGCCGGCACTCGCCATCAGGCCGTGGCCTTCGCCCTCAAGCACGCGTACCTCACATCGTCGCATAGTCTTGCCCAGCCACTTCACATTGTCGACAGGGACGCGCGTGTCCCGGCTGCCATGGTGGATGACAACAGGTCGCGTAATGTCCACGTAGCGGAAGCCGATTGTGTGCCTCCGTTCGAGGCAGACGAGAAGGTCCACGGCCGGATTGGCGCCTGTTGTTGCGAGATCCCAAATGGCATGCGTCAACCTCGTGTCGTATGTGAGCTGGCGTTCCTTGTCTGCCATGGCATCTGCGGCGGCGGCGAGCATGGCGCTCTCATGATCGAAGGGAGCCGACGAGCCAGCTCCGTACTGACCCGAAGGCGGTGCGCGTAAACGGTCCATGCTCTCGGGTCCCAATGAAGATTCCATGTCGATGCCGCCCTTGCCATAGCCGGTCTGGCCGAGGTTTTCCTTGTCCATGCTCGGCGTGATGTCGCGCCGCGCCGCAGGCGTATCGCGACCGGTCGTGTTGGTCGACTTGCGTTTGCTTCGGCGGTTCGAGTTTTTGGGTAGTGAGCTCGTGATGGAGCTGCTCGTGGCCGACATGAAAGAGCTGTTGGCGGCTTTCAAAAACGGCGTTGGCAGAGCACGGAGGATGCGTTGTGAAGTAGGAATGGCGTTGGTAGGCGGCAGCGTCTGCGATGTGCCAAATACGTTCATCTGCGAAGGAGGGATCCAGGGCGCGAGGAGGTGGATGCGACCGCGGATGTGCTGGGGCATGCGGAGGGCCGTCGCCAGCGCATAGATGGCGCCGGCAGAATGGGCAAGGATGGAGAATTTGGTGATCTTGAGGGCTTGACAGATGGCGTAGACATCGTCTGTACACAATGTTAGCAGCCGTAGAACAGAAATCACGATAAGACGCACCTGGCCAGCTGAGCGGCGTCGCCGTGCCGTCTGCGTAGGCCTCACTGTCACCGACGCCGGGTCGGTCGGGCGTGATGAGACGGAGTTTGAGTGTCAGCGCCAGCTCGTCGTAAAAGGCCGTGATGTATCGTGTTAAGCCCATGCCGACGCAACAGAACACAGCCGAGCCCTCCGAGTCGCCGACTTCGGAAAAGGATATGACACGGCCGGTCTGGGGATGCCTGATCTTCTGAGACAACCGCGGCGAGCACAGGTAGGACTCGACGGCATCGTCGACAGAGTCAGCACTACGAGGGCGCTCGTACCCCGAAGGCATGGCATTTACGGGCTCGGGCGAGGCAATGTCGCTGCGTCCGCTCCCGCCCTCTGATCGCGGACTCAAGGGAGCCGATAGACGCTTGAGTCTGGAGCTGCTGCGCTTCAATCGGACAGCCTCGTTGGCGTCGGGCGTCTGCCGGCCAGACTTCCTCCTGCTGCGGTCTGTGCTGTGATCGTCACGGCGCCGCCCTTGGGCGACGGCAGGGAACGGAGCGCCGTCCTCGAGGTCGTCCTGAGGCTGCGGACTCGTGACGCGAATCTCATCCACACGGCTGTTCCCCGTGGCGGTCATGTTAGCGGACGACCGCTGCGAGCTACGGCCGAGGTCGGCCGATTTCTTGCTCGACTCTCCATCTTCGTTATACCAAGACTGGTCCTTCAAATACCTGTTGCTGTTGCGAGCTTCGTCGTCCTCAGGTATGGTGCTGCTCTCTCCGTCTCGCTTCGAGCGGGAGTTCCGGACGGAAGATCTCTTGGCGTTGGGTCCTGTCTTGCGTAGCGATGAGTCCCGCGTCGGGATGGGTCGCGGGCTCGGTAGGGGGTCCATCGTGGGTGCGTGGTCAGGCCGTGGCGGAGGCTCCCTCGTGGGCGGGTCGTGATGTATCGGTGGCTCCTCGCTGATGGGTGTCTCGGCGAGAAAGGGATCGGGTCGAGGCGATAGGACGGTACTCAAGGGGGTATCATCAAAGGAGGCGCGGCTAGCAGGAGCAGCACCGCTGAGGCGCTTTCTCTCGTATTCTTTTTCTCGCAGTCGCTCTTTGGAGCTCATGTACATGAGACCTTTGTGGCTCCTACCCTGTTTCCGTCCCCAGCTGTCACGCGATCGGGAGCGGCTCCGGGTCGAGTCGGAGGCAGGGGCAACACCACGTTCGACAGAGAGGTTGCCTATGCTCTGGGTGTCATCGCGGGAACCGAGGGAACTCCGGGAGGAGGGGCGTGAGCTGTTTCGCAGGATGGACTTGAAACCGCCGCTAGAGTCGCGTGAGGGGGACTTTGGAGCGGTGAGTGGGGAGAAGCCAGAGGGTGGTTTGGCGGTTCGGATGACGGGCGAGCTGGCGGCGAGCTCGTCGAGGGATACCGTCTCCTCTCGGAGATCACCTAGGGAGGGCTGCGAGAAGGCGCCGTAATCGACGCCGAAGCTGCCGTTGCTGACGAGACTGCCCTGCCGGGGCGAGGAAGGGAGGGAGAGGCTGGTCAGCGTCGGAGACTCAAAGTGTCGGTCGGCGGGTTTAGAAATGACGGAGAGGCTCGTGATGAGAGAGGAGATGACTTCAGGCGAGGCAGGCTGAGCAGGACCCTGCAGCGAGCGGCGGCGTACATACGTGTCGGAGGCGGCGGTGTGATTGTTATTGTCGTTGCTGCTGGTGGTGTTGCCCGGGGGCGGAGGGGTGGTGGTGCCGTGGTCGCGATGGCGATGGACGTGGAGATGGCGGGTACGCTGAGGGATAGGGGGCGGAGCGGCGTCCCTTAGGTCAGACATGGCAGCAGAAGCAAGCGTTGGCAGCGGCAGCGACGGCGACAGCGACAGCGGCAACAGCCGGAGGGCAGAAGCCGATCTGAAGCGACACAGTTGATCCGCTTGTCTTATTAGGCTGGTCTCGGTGGACGAGCCCGACGGTGAGTGTCTCTGTTCATGCAGCGGGTTGTTCCTCAGACGGCAGCAGGACCAGACAACACGCAGGAGGGGGGGGGGGCGTAGGGATCCTGCAGAGTGCAGATGGAGTGCAGCAGCGGAGCAGTTCTGATGGCCGCTTTCGTTCGTGCTAGCCGCAGAGAATTGGCGTCGCACGTTCAGACGAGGACCGGGCGCGCGCGCAGACTCCGAGGGGGTGGAGGGGGGAGAGTTTGGTGGCCACCAAGATGGGTTGTGTTTTTAGGGGGAGGCGAAAATGCTGGATCTGGTGGTGAGGGCAGTAAACGCCGTGATCAAAGAGTCGCGCGGGCGATGAAAGAAGGAGAGCTCGAGCCACACACAGCCGCAGCGGACGAACCGAAAAAGAAGAAGAAAAAAAAGCAGAGGAGAGAGACAGATGGATGGCAGACACGGATGGATGGATTGTTGAAGAAGCTTTGTTCGGGATGGGAACAAGGGCCCGTCGTCGAGAGGGACAATCTCAGGAACGGGACCTCGTCGATTGGCAGGCGCAGGCAGAGAAGCACCTGCCTCTCATCAGAAGGTGCAGGAGCCCCCCCCAAGGCGCATGCAATTGTGCAGCCTGGTCGGGCCACCAGGGCCCCTATTTGCGGATGCTGTAATTAATTGCAACCCTACCATTCGGGAGGCCAGCATGGCGG